TCTTTTCTCCAAGGAAGGTGGCTGAGCATATTATAAGAACCCTGTCTGTGTGGTTAAAGTTTGTGTGAAACCAGACAGTTGGGTTAACTGAGCAAAGGCTCAGGGCTAAAATAAATTTTGAATTGTGATGTGAATGCAGGGTGCACCTACTATCCCAGGCAGCAGCATTCCTGTGAATTAAGGAATTAATCTCTCCTATGTGCAGAATGAGTAGGAGCTAAAATCTTAATAGCAAGGCCCACTGTGAGAGACGTTCTCCTCTCTCCCATAGGAATAGGAATAATATTCCTATTCATTCCATTCTATTTGTCATAGGTTCCCTGGTTGCAAATATGCAACTGAACTTCTAAATCTCATAGGTATGGAAAATTGCTTGTGTAGTCCTGGAAGTATCTTTGAGAGCAGCAAACAGAATCTCCTGTTATAGGCCAACAAAGAAGACTGGATGAAAAGCTTTCTTGGTCAATTTGCTACACATTCCATTCATACTCAGATCAGGCTGCAACTTCCTTCAGGCTAGAAGATACAGTTTTTTAAATTACTTACATGGGATGCTATGACTTCACTCAACTGGATTGGTCAATGTTCATTGTTCCAGTTCTGGGGGATAGTAGACAAGGATTTTAGAAGTAAAATGAATGCCTTAAGTCTCTGCGGTACCTAAGTCACACGTACTTTATATACACCCCAAACATCCCACAAAAACAATATTTTGCCTCTGAAGGGTCTCTGGGGGCTGTAAAATAATTGTCGAGTGTTATGGATTGTGCAGTTGTGATTCAGGAAAAAAAAGATGGATTATATTCAGTTTGCCATAAGAAAGAATGAATGGAAGAGATTCCCCAATTGTATGAAATAAGATGCATAGGATTTTTTAGGAATGGTGACACACCATAATGAAGGTGTCCTATATTGTTATATTGCTTTACAGTAGAGTGACTGTACCATATTCTGACTTTTCTAGAAAATTATAGTATCAATTCAGGAGAGCTGTCTTCCCCAAAAATGCTTTCCAGTTCTCTTGGACCTCAATTCTCCATTTCTCCAACCTACTCATGCTGATTAGGAAATATAGGAATTGAAGCCCAAGACTTACAAAACTGAAAGCCCTAAAAATGTTACCTTTACAATAGGCTGTACAGCTGGACAATATGTAATACCACATTGGGCATTAGGCTGTTTTATTATTCTTCTTCTATTGTGCTTTTATGTTTTACTGTATTACAGGTCACCTAGACTCATTTTGACAATTGATATCAGTTAGCCATTCTTATCAGTTGAGTTAGTAAATAGATTAACCAATGAATAAACACATCCAGAGGACACCAGATTAAGTATGACTTGGTTAAGATAAACCTTGTCTCACAAAAGCAAGGCCTAGTCTCTCTCTGTGGAGTGAGCTAAAGGTATTATTAGGCAGAAGACCCACTTTAGACTCTGTTCTGAACCACAGCAATCCAATTTTAGCAGCCACTACATCCAGCTTTGAAGTGATTGTTTTCCATTCACTCTAACATCATACAAGATTTAGACAGAGGAAATATCTTTGAAAAAAATGAAGCTCCCCCATAATTCTACCCCCATTCTGCAAAGGACATATGTAAAACATCCTTTCCTGTGAAGGTGATTTATTCTTAGAGACCTGGTGAAAGCTTTAGGATGAAGGGGAGGTTGGGGTTAATTGGTGCTGCAGTCACAAAGTGATTCATGGCTCCCCTTAGAAGTGGGAAAAGTAATGTTTCACTGAGAATTCCATGGGGAAAAGGGTCCTCTGATTATTCAGACAGCAATTTCTCCAACTCTCTGAAAAAGTGCAAGAGAGGGGACATACATGCATATGAACACAACCCATATTACAGATAGAATAAATTTTCACTGGAACGCCCAGCAAATAACTAAATAGTAATTTTTAAAAATGTGACTATGCCAGCAGTGCCCTTCTGCCCACCAAGCCCCAGCAGTGCACAATGTGCCAACTTCCTGCAACTCAGTTCTTCCAACTTGTGCAAGAACAAGTACCATTCTAGCTGGTGTATGTGTCAGGAATTGTAAACTGAACACTTTTGGAGATTCTAGATTGAAAAAAAATGGAGTATAGGTAGTCCTCATTTAGCAATCATAACTGGGATCAGCAATTTGGCCGTTAATTGAAGTAACTACCAAGTGAAGCCACAATTGTGCTTATGTTCTTACTTCAGCTTTCCTTTGCTTTACAGATCTGTGACTGTCATAAATGTAAGAACTGGTCACAGAATTACTTTTTCATCAGTGCTGTAATTGTGAACGGTGACTAAATGGGGCATGTGTACAAAAGCACGGCAATCCAATGTTTTTATGCAATTTTTTTTTTAATCGACAGAATCTATTTTGGGATAAATTGGTTGCCTACAAACACACTTTCGTTGGAGCAGCTGAAGGAAGCCTAGCATCTTACCTCAGCTGACAGAGAAACAAACCTAACCGATCAACATTAAGAAACAATTTTTATAATTTGTGCTGATGTCACCAGTAGTGATCAAGATGGATGAGGAACAAGAAACATGGTTTAGAAATGAACAGTTAGAGTTCTAGCCATTGAAGAGGTTTGTTTTTGTTGGAGGGTTTGTTCCCTATGGGATTCTCATCCACAGTCCTTCTATCTCTCAGCAAAACAGAATCCAAATGACAGCCAAGGGGGCTGTTTGGGCTATCATAAAACTGATGGAGTCTAGGTCAAGCCGAAATTTAGTGAAGCACTCAGCTCAGCTGCATTTGACTCATTAGCTACCCTCCATCTCCTGGGAGTATTAAATACAGCGCAGAGTCCAAGGGGATATTGCCTTGATACCATATTTGTTGTATATATTTCAGCACAGACATCGGAGGCAACTCAGGTCAAAGGTAATGGTCTTATTCAGAGTTTTTCTGTGCCTCCTGTTCCATTCTTTGAAGTCCCCGTGGTGAGTTGCTGAAGTCTGCAAGCCCAATTCTAGATGGAAGATTACCGAATGTATCCATCCACCACAGAGAAAAATACTGTGGTTTCATAAGAATGACTATAGCCAGTCCTTACAACCATTTGTTTAGCAACTGTTTGTAGTTACAATGGCAGTAAACGTGATTTACAACCAGTCCTCATACTTATGACCATTGCAACATCCCCAAGGTCATGTGATCATAATTCAGGCGCTTGGTCACCAGCATGTATGTACAATGGTTGCAGTGTTCTGTGGTCATGCAGTCACCATTTGTGACCTTCCCAAAGCAAAGACAATGGGGAAAGCCAGAACTACAACTACATGATTCACTTAACAACCATGGCAAAATTTATAAAAATAAGGTATGACTTACTTAACAACCTCCTTGCTTAGCAATGGAATTTCTGGTCCCTATTGAGGTCATACATTGAGGATAACTTGTATGCTATTATTCCTTCTAGAAACACTGGGAATTATAGTTTCAGGGGGAAAAAACTTACCATTTTACTATTTTCAACAAAGCAGAGTACCTGGGCTTTTTTTGGAAAAGCTATAAGAAAATATATTGGCACAAACTTATTTGTAGCATATATTTACTCTTAGTCCATACTGTTTAGTTGCTCAGAGTCGATACAGAAAGTGCTACTAATGTCAATTTCTAGTAGTTCCTATAGTGTCTGGGTATGACAGAAATACTTTATATATATTTTTTATTATAGCTTCTTATAAAACATACTTTCCCCACCAGCTTTTTACAACAGGGAAAACAACTTCTGTATCTACAATAGTCTCCCAGTTGGAGCACAAACCAAGTATAAATCATTAACCTATCCAGGGTCAATGAACACAGCAGGATGTTACAATCAATCTATGCCACCCAGAGTGATTGCATCAGTGAGGTGAACGGCATATAAATTTAATAAATAAATAAAATCTATCATGTCAACCCTGAACTGCCTCAGGAATAGGTAACCTGCTGTCTACCATTAGCTAATGAAAAACACAACAACAACCTGGACTGCTATATAATAAGTCATGGCATGATATATGCAGTCCATACAAAAGAAATACCATCTATAATGCCAAGCATTTATATGCTGACCATATATTTCCTCCCAGAAAATTAGATGATTTTCTACAATAGATATTAAATCCCCAGACACCAAAATCCCAGTGGCAACATGCACAGAGCTGACATAATTAGGATATTTGTTTGACTACCAATAGTGATAGGCTTGCCTTCTTTTGAAGGAAAGAATAAGAGCACCATTTGAGGCAGCAGCTCCTGGAAAGGTATTAAAACCATGTGCTATTACAAGATGTTTTCCCTTCATGTGGCTTTCAGATATGATGGAAGAACCCATCCCAACCCAACGTTGGAGTAAGATTCAACTTACTGTACTTCAGGTTTTAAATATGGAAAGAGAAAGAGGTGTTGTCCCCAGCAAAAAAAGGGATTAAACTAGCTTCAACAACCTAGTTGATATTAAAAACATGGTGTGATGTTGACCTGTAGTAGGGGTAGGTAACCAGAATGCAGATCTCAAGGGCCAACCTCAGCTACCACAGTGTTCAAAGATTCCACCACCAGAATTTGATGATTTAATGGGTGATTTTCAACAGTTTTCTTAGTAGAAAACAAGTAGCAAAATAAAAGAGGAGATGGATGTGCTAAGCTTATGCAAGACTAAACACACCAATTTTTATCCTTAAAATCCCTAACCTATCCCCAAAAGAGAAATATTGTTCCTTGTAGTTCCCAGACCAATTTACTTTTAAAGCTCAAAAGGCCCATAATTGCTTTTGACTTTCTGGAATAGATTAAGGGAAGTTAATACCATACAGTTTTTCAAACATATGTTCTACGGGCCAGACGTATATTTGACTTAATGAAAGCCTCTTGATAAAATACATCTTCTTGTATCCTCTGCTGATGAAATGATGTACAGAGGAAATAGAAATTGCCTCCAGCAGTGTGTTTCACTTGATGGGTTTAGCTAGATAGTGCACAAGTAAGGAAAGCTTATTAAAAAAATATTTTACCTGTATATGCAGAAGTCTAATGAAGTCTATGCAAAATCTCATAGCATTGGATCCTATTTCTTGTCATAAATGGGTCAGCCAAATGCCTCTATGTAGAAGTAGCTTTGAAAAACTCTGTCCTTTCAGTAGCTTTGAAAAACTCTGTTTTCTGGTGGTGTTATCAAGATATAGAAGCTCAGTGAATCTGAAAGTGAAGATGAGCTTTGGATGTGTCTTTCCCAAATGGAAATGGTCACTTGCAGGAAGTGTCTTTCACATCTGGCATTGCCCCTTGAATCTTCGTTTGGGTTTTTTTTTTTTTACATCACCAAGGAACTGTTTTGACAAAACATAACATTACCAAGTGAGAATATAAGGAGGGCTATCATTTAAATTTGAATATTATCAAGCTTTGGGGGGTTACTGGGCATATTTGAAATTCTGAAAGATTTTTTTGAGATCATACTATAGCTGTCATAGAATGTGACTGTCATTGTGAGTGTATACCAGTGACGACAGATCCATATCCCAAAACAGCAAATGATTGAGTTCATAAGCCATCTCATAAGCCAGGGCTTTTCAACCAGTGGTATGGCTTTTCAACCAGGTACATTGGCACCTGGCAGATGGTACGTGACCATCTTATAAAAGTGGTAGCGGAGCCCTGAAGAAGCACCAATCAGCTGGAATGTTGCAGCATCTCCAGGGTCTTGTGATTTACATTCAGATGCTTGGCAACTGATTCATATTTATGATGGTCACAGTGTCCCAGGGTCATGTGAAGTGACCAAAACCGGCTGCAACCACCCAGCAGATGGGGAAAATAAAAACCAAACACCCCCCACCCCACTCCCACTGCCAATCCTCAACAGAAATGCTCACAACAATGAAAACCTCAGACAGGAAGAAGAGTGCCGCAGGGTGGGCAGGCAGGTGTCTTGGTCAGCTGTGGCTTGGGGGGGGCACTTTTTCAGTGCCATTGTAACTTCGAACACTCACTAAGCAAACTGTTGTAAGTCGAGGACTACCTGTACTTTATCACTTTTTTCCTTTTTTTTTTAGTCATCAAGTTTTTAACACCTTGCTAGGCGACTGGTGGTACTTGGATGTTGCCATATCCTAAAAGTGGTACAATGGGTGAAAAGATTGAAAAGCCCTGTCATAAGCCATTGAAGCAAACGTATTTAAAGTACAATGAAATGGAAGAAATCGTGGGACTGTCATAAACCATTATGAAGGAACCAGCTTTGTGTTTTGTGGACATAAAAAGTAATGTTTGTGACTATAATTTTTCTAACCGCCCACCTCCAGTGGAAATTGTCTTCTTTATAAATCATGATAAAGGATCAACTAAACCAGGGGTGTCAAACTCAATTTCATTGAGGGCCACATCAGCATTGCAGTTGCCCTAGGGAGGAGGAGTGGGGGTGTGTGGCCAGGGTGTGTGCGGCCTACTAGGTGGGCATGGCCAGCTCTACATTGTTTGCGTCAAGGGTGCCTGTGCGGCCTGGGCAGGAGTGGGACAGATCTGAGGGTCTCTGGCGAAGGGGGTGGGACCGGGGCAAGCGCCAAGGCATGGTCCATTTCTTCATTCCTCACAAAGGGTGACACCTCCCCAGCATGCACCCAGGGGGCGGGACCGACACAGCAGGTGCTTGTTCCTCACTGTTTCTAGACGGTCTTGTGGAGCTAAGACTGAATGCGTTTCAGCATAGATGGCCACCACAAAATTGTACATTGGCTCACGGCCGGCCTGGGCCAGGGCCAAGGCAGCAGGGGCCGTTCCCTCACTGTTTCCAGGATGGCTTCGTGGGCCACATGAAACCACTTCGCGGGCCGCATCCGCCCCCCGGGCCTTGTGTTTGATATGTCTGAGCTAAACAATTCAAGCATATGCATTAAGATAAGTAGGCAGGAAATTAGACCTGTGTACCTCCTATGTATGTTTTCTCAGAAGTCAATTTATGGAAGAATTAAAATTTGGCTTTCTGGATCAGGTCAAGACCCATCTTCATCTAGAATTTTCTTTCACACAGTGGTGAACCTGGTGCTTCTGGAGGCTTACTAGCAGGAAGTGGAGACATAGGAATTCTGCTGTTCTCCTGAAACAGGTGTTGGGATGTATGTGATTCCCAACTCAGGGGTAACAGAGAGACTCAAAAACCAGTACTTTTTGACTGAGCTTCCTTCACAACTTTATCCAATCTCCCTTTAAATTCATCCAAGATAATGATCACTACCACATTTTGTAGTATTGAATTTGACAGGTTCATTATATACTATGTGAAAAAGTACTTTCTTTTTTCTGTTCTAAATCATTTCTGTTACTTTATTGTACTTCTCCTTGTCCTAATATTTTAAGAGAGGGAGAAAAAGCTGCCTCTGCCCCTTCTGTCCTTGTTGTGCCTGATTTTATACACCTCAACCACATCCTCAGTCACTTTTGGTTTTCTTTAAAAAGAAAGTCCTAAACTTCAAGGAATTCAGAAGCTCTCATTTAAGCATGCAAAAGAATGCTACTCTAAATGTAAATTAATGTATACTATAGCCAAACTTAGAACAAAAATGAGTAAAAAAATTGCAGGAACTCCATTTAACACAAAACTTTCTGTAAACCACACCTTTTTCTATAAGTCTCTCTCCTCTTTTTCCCATTGAACAATGCAATCCTTCATCATCTTGCATCAAAATGATTGTCTTTTTACATTATTCACAACTGATTTGACTTTGACTTATGCAAAAATCAGGTTTTACAAGGTTTTCTGGAATGGGATGGTTATGCAAGTTGAGAACTCCCTGTACTCAAAATCTATTAAGATTACTATTTCATTATTACTGTAATATTAAAATTAAAACAATGCATAGAAAGGTCAACAAAAAGCAGCAGCTCTCAAAATCATGAAGTAATCAAGGGCCTTTAGTGATGATGTTAGTGGGAGGAGTCCAATGTCTCTTTGCAATGAAACAGAACCTCTGCGGTGCATTTCTCAAAACTAAACTTGAAAGAAAGGCCTTATTTGGTTAAGAAGCAGGACATCATAGTGACAAACTTTAGAGCATGTGTGTATAACTTTCCACCCCAGGAAAGGGCTAAGTGAGGCCATCAGGATTTCAGGGTGGCCCCCAATGTCTGTTGATATTTTGTTTGTCCATCAAATTCTTATGTCATCCATCATGCTGCTTTCTTGCTTTATGGTGTTTGTGCATGTGTGTTTGCGCGTGGCCATGTGCGCAATAGGCAGAGTAGATGTACTTGTGAGATGTGAAAAGATTGGTAATTGACTGAAATGTGAGAAGATCTGGATCACAGTAAACCAATTAAAATTAATATTAACTTCTGATTAAGTTCTACTTTCACCTCCATACTTTTAAAAATCTATTGGTGGCCTCACCCCCTTTTGCAGGGGGCCTCATAAATAGTGTTCAAGGAATTTTCTGTACTTCTTTTTGAGAGTCAGAGATGAAGAGACTACTTCAAGCAGAGAGTGATAGCTTGTAAAAGAGAATCAGTTTTCCATGTTAAATGATCTGTTTCTCCTCTTTCTGTATGGTACCCTTCCTTCTCTACCGAGTTTTCCTTTTGGCTAGTGAGATTTGTGTTGTAGTCATTAGTTAAATCATGTCAAGATGTGTTTTATAGCTAGTCATCACCAGTTATTAAAAGCTATAAGGGTATATTTCAGAAAGCACTCTCATTGCTCAGTAATGAAGTCATGTTTTTAGCTATGCACTATGAAAAAGACTAGAGGAAAGAAAGATCCTTTGATAACCAACATTTTATTTATCACCACACCTGGGAATCTAAATTGTCACTTACACACTTTGCTCCAGAGCCAAAATGGCTTTACATAGTAAATAGGTTTACATTGGATCTATGAGTATGGTGAAAGAGGCACAATCAAAATGTATATTTTAAATCAGTGTTTCTCAACCTTGGCCTCTTGAAGATGGATGGATTTCAATTCCCAGAATTCCCAAGCCAGCAACAGGGAATTCTGGGAGTTGTTCACCCATCTTCAAGGGACCAAGATTAAGAAACAGCATTTTAAATGATTCTAATTAAAATCTGGTTGCCTTCCTTCATTTGGAACTTCTTTTGCTAGCCAAGAAAAGAATAAAGAACACTTTTAAGACCATAGTCCCCAAAATAATTCTTTGACATCAGCATAAGCCCACAGCCTTGAAAATAGTCAACTATAAGAGGTGGCATCAGGGCTCCATTAGTATTTTTCCACACCAGTAGAGAGAGAGAATTCTTCAAGAGGTAGGACAGATTTCCATATTATAAATGTGCTACCCTGTTTTGACATTCAATTTACTGCCACCCTTTGGCAACTATTCTTCTGAGTCATGGGTTCAAACACAACACTGTGATTCATACCCAGACACAGAACCCATGCAGAAAACATTTGCTTTATTGCAAGAGTGAAATTTGTGCTGATTGGGCAGGTGGACAGCTATTAATGAAACTTTCTACTTACTTGTTTTGTTTCAATTTTTTTTCAGCTTGTAGAGGTTTATACAGTCAGGCTTACTTTTTATGCTGACTTGTGTTTCTAAGAAGCCATTATGCTTGCAAAGTCTTCTTATGAAAAAGGCCTTGCAATGAAATAACAGGAAGCGTAGGACCACATTTGGAATGTGTACCATTCTTGTCACTCTGTCTCAAAATATCTGTCTGGTAAGAGTAGATTTGAGAAAGAGAGAAAAGGAAGGAGGGAAGTCTGCATGAGTGACTTATAGCATTATCTAGTCACCCATTTGTGGTTGTACCAATACAACTGTAATGAGGACAGATTTGTAACACGTCAGCTTTGGATAATGCTGTGCAGATGCTATAAGTCAAGGAAATTTTCTGTGAATTAACTGACTTTCTTAATTTGGTGTCCTTCAATTACATTAGATGACAATTCTCAGAGTAATAAAAAAAAGTCAAGAATGTGACCGCAATGTTAAGGTCAAAGTTTGCATAGCATGGTCACCATCTTCACCTTTTTAATAAAAAGGTGGATGGCCCTGACATCTTGTATAATTTTTACTCACTGGGGATTTTGTACTTTTGATCCAGCATTTCTGGAGAGTATCAAATTAAGTATTGGAAGACTGCTATTACATCACTTTTAATTCTTCTCTTCATTAGACTAGTTTGTGTAAACTGTACACTATCCAGAATCAAAGTGAGATGGGCAGCTATGTAAATTCAGAAATAAAAGTTGGAATTATTCTCCTGTTGGGCTTTTCATGGGCGTCTGTTGGCCACAGAATATTGTAGAACAGCATATTGGACTGGTTAGCTTTCTGGTGTGAGAAAAGGGCTCTTTAATGAGGACTAAGAC